AAAAAAAAAAAAAAAAAAAAATTATATATATATATATATATATATATACATACCTAAAACTTTTCAATTGTGACTTTATTTCTTATTTTCAACTTTATTTTACAAATGAACTTTTCTAGTTTTGACTGAGGCGGAAATGAGCTTCTATACTAATCAGATCACTCACTATAAGCATCTGCCACAACTAATGGACTGCATTTGCAATTCTGCAGAAAGTAGTGTGCTATTAGTAGAGCATCTTATGCTGCAACTCCATTAACCTTAATCAGTAACGTATATCTAATGCAGGGCTTATTTTAGACTATATTAAATGTGCATAAATGTTAACGCTATGCACAGACCTCCTCTTTTTTCTATGTAAAGGTGATGTGGTACTATACCTGTTGCTAGATAAAGGATGTGATAGAGCATGTCTTTGCCCTGCACTACATCCACGGCCACATGGGAGAAGCGCACATTGTCCTCCATGAAGTATGGCACAGGAACGATGGGCTGCACCACCTCGTGCATCAGAATGAACTTCTGGGCATCCTGCAAATTCCTCTCCGTTAAGTTCACATAGGAGCCGTAATCTATAGTGCCACACTGAGAAAGAACAAGGGAGATACAAACAGAGAGATGCCGATAAGAAAATAAAAGGATTAACGGTCTGTGAAGAAATGCAAAAAAAGTCACTAAAAGCTGTTGGTCCCAAGAACCCATTTGTTGTATGAAATCATGATAATTTCTTCTATAGAAAAGCATTTAGAAAACTGGCTAGCAGTTGTTTCCCTAAATTACTGTTTTCCTCCCTGAATAAGATTTTATACGGAGAAACAAATTAGCTGGCCTCACAAAACTCACACTCTCTCTTGGATCACATATAATCAACATCAATCAGCTGGAGATCAACGCAGGCATAATTCTACTCAAATGGGGTGCATGTTGGTCTTTCAAGAACAGAATATACGGCAAGCCATTTTCCATCAATGCTGGAAGACATAAATTTAAAGCTCGTAAATCTGGCCTCAACAACATGGACAAATGCTTGATGACGATGTCACAGCAAGCTAGATAAAGTGGGGCTCCTGTACATCATGAATCCTTGGGGTTCAAAGAGAAAAAGAATGAAGTAAAAGACGTTCACGTGGACTTCGGAAACTTAATTATCAGGTCACAGAGATCGGCTTCAATAAGCCAGACGAGAAAGTCTGATTCAGCTGATCCAATAAAGAAGTCCATACTGACCAGACAGTTTTTAAAGGGTTTAGATATGGTAGTCAAGTCATTTTAATGGGGTCATTACCAGGCCCGCATAGAATCTGCACCCAATTCCAACAGAAAGCGCTGAAGATTTTCAAAGAATCTGAACACGTCATTCAGAACATCTGGCCCTTGTGTGTTTGTTATTAGAGGTGAAATGTAATCGAACTGGTTTTCAACATGATTTACTATGTTTAAATACATTCTGGAGAATTTCACCAAAAATCAGCTTGGAAAATGTAAATAAAAAGTCTGCAGAGACCATCTGGGCCTGGACATGGATCTCACGTCACATTAAAATACATTTAACGGCTTTAGATTAACCTTCCAACAATTACCAGCAATTTAGACACAGATACATTCCTTCATTCTGACCACGAGTTTAGATTTCGGAAGAAAGTCTTAAAACTATGCACTGCAGAGTCAGTCATTGTGAAGTGGCTGGCAATACTCCACAGGAGATCAATACTGGTTTTATTAGCTCTTATCATTGTAATTGTCCAGCCACAAATGTTATAAGCTGGCAACTTTATTAATAAATTCATGAGAATTACAAAGACATGGAAATGGAGGCAAATTAATGACCATGAGAGAGGCTTGAGGAACCATGACTTGATCTGTCTCCCTTCCGTTATCATCGACATTATCAGACTTAGATGTTTGTGGGTTTTGGATAATTGGACAGTGCTAAGAAAAATAAAAATTAATCTCACATATTCTTTTTTTCCGGAGAATAATCAGGCAAACACATGAGGCAATAAAACGAAAAACTTCAGTCAGCATCTCGTTTTAATTGGGCACACATTGGTGGTAGTTGAGGTGAGAAAGTCAATTATTTTTTTTGGTTGTTTACCGCTGGAGTGCTGCTAACAGAAAGAAACCTGGCACTTTTCACAAATACCGTATTATTTGGCATTAGAGCAGCAGAGAGACAAATCCCACATTTTTTATTGTTATTAACCTAGAATGAAATGTATGTAGTTTTTAAAATATGGTGATTTTGACCAGTCCCACCTCAATGGTAGTTAAAAATCAAAATAATACAAATGTTACAATTTACAAATACATTATTTAAAAATAATACAAATATTTATATTACAAACTAATTTTAATTACTTCCTACAGCATTGTGGAAAAAGACAATTTGTGTGTGTGTGTTTATTTATTTTTACACATATTGTGCTGTTGACTGAAATTAAGTCAAGGTTAACCCTGTCACCTGTATTATTTTAAGAGAAATGATCAGAATGGGAAAATTGTGCTGTTGTTTTTTTTTTTAAATCCAGCATTTGCTCCCGAGCTACACTACGGTTCAAAAGCTTGGGGTCAGTAAGATTTTTTTTTTTTAAAAGAAGTCACTTTCTCAAGGTTGCAAAAATATAAAAAATACAGTAAAATGGTAATATTGTAAAATATTATTATAATAAAAAAAGAAAATATTTTAATATATTTTTAAACGTAATGTGTTCCTGTGATGCAAAGCTGAATTTTCAGCAGGCATTACTACAGTCTTCAATGCCACATGATGCTTCAGAAATAATTCTAATATGCTGATTTGCTGCTCAAGAAACATATTATTAGTGAACAATATTGAAAACGTTGAAAAATGTAGTGCTGCTTAGTATTTCTGTAGAAATTGTGATACCTTTTAAGGATTTGTTGATGAATGCAAAGTTCTATCTTTTGGAACATTATAAATGCCTTTACTGTCACTTTGATATTTTTTTTTTAAATCAAATTTGCAACCCGGTTACTCATTATATCATAATTTTTTTTCTACTGAATAGAAAAATCATATAATTATGATTACTATTAGAAAATAACAAAAAAACATTTAAACAACAAATGCTGTTAACAGGGTCTCATCAAATAATGGAAAATAAAACTCAGAATGACTTCTTGATGAAGAGGATGATGATCAACATTCTCTGAAGGTTAAGCACCTCCTTTCACTGACCATTTGAGAGTTTCAGGCCCTATTCTGTACCCTATTTGTGGAAAGTGCCACTTAACTTTTAAAGCAGATGGAGCGAATGCATACTGTCCGTAAAAGTGACTGTCATTTTCTGGGTGCTTACCTGAAAGTCAGGGTTGGGATTGGGGTAGGGCAGCCAAGCGGAGCGTGAGTTCTCCTGGTACTTGAAAGGCCCACTGAACACTTGGGTAATAGCGCTCAGATTGAAGGCACACACTGCTGATGCGGCAATGCTGTTGCTGAGAACAGAGTCAGAAGCAGGCAGTCAGCACACACAAACACACACACACTTATATGCAACACGTTTTCACTGACAATCATTAAAGCATAGTGGAACACAATGTGAAAAATGGATCTGTCCATGGCTGACTGTGATACAGATCACACACTACCAGAGAGATAACAGCAGGTAAGCAAAAGTATGTATGGTGTTAAAATGATAGTGCCCTCACAAAAAAACTATGCAATTAATAACAGGCTTTTGCTGAGAATGCAGACCACAAAATTGACATTCTGCAGGAAATAATGGGTCATAAGTTGACTTTTGTGCTTTGAAACCCTGAACATAACAGAGGATATCTTAAAACTGTGTGTTGTGATCAAAAAGTGCTTTACTCACACATTAGTAGTGAAAATCCCATAGAGAAGCTCAAGCTCAGGCAGGAAAAAGGTTCCCTGCAGCTCGTTGTAGTTGAATGGAATCTCGCCCGGCCGTGAGCAATTAAGCCTGGCCTTCATAAAGGTGGTCCAGGTGTCCTCCAGCAGAAAACGGCCCCCGATGTCGTTCTTGCAGACGCGAGCGGCGCGAGAGAACACCGTCCGGCCGCAGTCATGCTCCACGGCGTTCTCACGGAAGAAGAAGTAGGTGAAGTTGCCGATGTCGTAGGAGGAAACGAAGTTGGGCTCTGAGTTTGACAGAAACGGGGGACAGATGACAGTGATTAATAACGGATTGCACATGGAGCAGAACCGCTGGCCCATCGAGATGCATTTATTAATCTTATGCTTAGGTAATGGACGAACTCATTTGTCGTGGGAGAAGAGAAAGGTTACGGTGAGAAACGATCAAAGCGAGCTTACTCGTTTAATTATCGTTCTCCATTCAAAACAGATGAACGCACGAGCCTCTCAAAGGCAAAAAGAGCAACCGTCATGGCCAGCTTCGTAAGATTCAAAGTGAGGAGGTGGATGTGATTGACAGCAAATTCATTTTCTTTTGTGGTGAGGAGCTTTGCACATTTGCACAACATGAAGGAGGAAAAATCATTTGGAAAAAGTTAATGTAATGTAAATGTAAATCAGGTGGAATTCTTCTCTGTCGAGATTTTCTGATAATAATTTTTAAACCCATCAACTCAGGCAGTTTTTTCAATTTGGACGTTGATGTTTAGGTTTGGAGAAAAGATTAATGTCTACAGTTAAAGGGATACTTCATGCAAAAACGAAAATTCTGTCATCTTTTACTCCCCTTCATGTTGTTCAAAACCTGTATGTCTGTCTTTCTTCTAAATATTTTGAGGAATATCTCAAGTGGTTTATTTTGTCCATATAATGGAAGTAAATGGTGACTAAAACTGTTGGTTACCAACAATCTTCAAATTATCTTTTGTGTTCCACAGAAGAAATTAAGGTAATTCAGGACTGGACTCACATGAACTGTTCCTTTAAGATGGTCAATTTTGTTTTTGTGCCAAAATCTAACATCATAATCCAGCAAAAACAAGCAAGATGGACACAACAGGTGACTAAAATTACTAAAACTGTATTATTTTTTTGTAGTGTTGTTCATCGTTTTTATGGATGATTGCATGTTGCACATCCCACTCATGTTGGCATATGCTAATTTGTCTACCTTCTATGATATGGCTGATGTTGTATCAAAACACAGTCAAACTTGACCAGATACTCACTATTTGAAGTCAACAACAAATGATCCGACATTTATTTGTTAAGTTACATTTAGTTTTGTTCTTGCAGATGTTTGAAACCTTATCAGAACAGACCTGCAGCCTATTTTTGTGTTGTGAACCACCAGTTGAGAACAACTGCAGAGCTCTTCAAAACAGATGTGCTACTTAAACTTACATCTCACCCTCCACCCCCCAAAATGTCATCATTTACACCTCCTTTTGTTGTTCAGAAGCTCAAATATGGAACACAAAAGCCAATGTTAGGCAGAATGTTAGAGACTGACAGACTCACTGTCAGTCTGTCACTGGCCACTTTCATTACATCTTTTTTTCATACAATAAAAGTGAACAGTGATAGAGGCTGTCATTCTGCCTAATGTCTTTATTTGTGTTACAGAAAGAAATTCATGCAGTTTTGGAATGACATGAAGGTGAGTAAATGATGACACCTTTAAAGAAACAACTTGTGCCACATTTTCCAAAGACCAATTAGTCACTTGATTGCTATTAAGGACTTTAGTTTTTTCTCGTAATGTCATAATTGAATGAAATATATTTCATACAATACCATTGAGCCATTTGGAGTTGTATTGAGCAGTACGCAGAGGTGGAAGTCCTCCCAGGCTTCGGTAGATTGCCGGGTCCCTGCCGGAAAAGTCCATGGCTGTGGCGGCATACAGCTCCCCGCTGGAAGTGATGAGGGCAGTGGAATTATGCAGAGGGTTATAGGGGCACCGTGCCATCCCACTGATTTGATCATGGACCTCGGTCAGGTTAGTCAGCTGTGCAGAGAAACAGAGATTGAATTCAGACACCCTGGAATTCTTATACCTGAAAGGCTAGTATATATCTTAGTAAATACAAACGGAATACAAATCATAAAATAAATAATTTTGAACGCACTATTAGTTTGTTTTGAGTCTGAACAGAGAAATACGTCCAAACATTTCCACGGACAGAAATCTCGAAGATGTTCTAATTTTGTTTACGCGAGGCGCTGATGTGGCATGAAAACTATTTCACCGTTCGAATCATTTATTACTGTGGAAACGCTCTGCCTACTTCCAGCCGTGTTGTGTGCTATTTTGTGAGACGGCAAAAATGTTTATCTCATTACTTGGTTGTCACGCCTAGTGGCGGCTGCAATAGCTAAATGCTAATCGTTCGCAACACACCCGTTCTGTTCTTATGTGCAGTACGGAAAAGCCTTGATTCTTGCTTAGCGTGACATTTAGCCAGCAATGGGAAGCTACCATGACAGGAAGGTAATTTCCATTTGTATACAATAAGCACAAGGGATATGCCACCAAAGGAAGCGAGTATGACTTTTCGTGCTGGTCCAAGTTTTTTTAACCGATTTCTGTTCCTTCACAAAATTCTCCATCTGAACTACTAGAGAAGCCATTAGTGAACCATATGGGTTTAAAGCAGTGGTTCTCAACCAGGCTCAACCTCGGCAAACTTCCAAGAGGGCCTTAAAATGACTTACAATCAGACCAAACAAGCATAGAAATAAGCTAAAACAACTAAAAATCTATATATTTCTTCATCACCCCCTTAACAACTATTTTTTGTCTTTCAAAAAACAGGATTGCAACTTCTTGGAAAACCTGATTATATGAGAAAGCCTCATTTTAAAAGTATGATTTGTGGACATGGAAAAGTCTAATATGCATTTCGGCCAAGCTCTAAAATATGTATATATGCCAGACTCTAAAATATTTTATTGGGTATAAATTGTGAGTAAATCCTTATCCAGTGAATCACGTACAATTGGAAAAGTCATGGGAAATTATTGTGGACAAAATGGGGCATTGAGGTAAAAAAGGTTAAGAACCACTGATGTAAATGACTGCTTCCGTTATCACTGCAAAAAATAATTTTCTTACTCAGTATTTTTGTTTTGTTTTCTAGTAGAAACATCTAAACATTCTTTATATTTACACTGAAAAAAAACTAAACAATGAGATACATTTACTTGAGAAACAAATTACCTAAGACATTAAGTCTTGTTTAAAATGTAAAATGTATCAAAATTAAAAGATTTTGAACATAAAACAACACACACACACACACACACACACACGCACGCACGCACGCACGCATGCACATATATTTTCTTAAATGTTGATATTTATTAAAAAAACAAGACTTAATATCTAGTAATTGCTACTAGATATATAAGAATCTACGATATATTAATATCTAAGTAATTTTCCTTGTCAAATAAATATATCTTGATTTAAGAATATTTATACATTTGTAATGGAAAACAATAAAGAAAATCATTTTTTGCAGTATTCACAAGGGAGAGTATTTTCCTTTGAGAGCACAGCCAAATTCTGTTCATCATATTTAAAAATGTGATACAAATTGGCATCAAAAACACGTTTGAAAAATCCAGTTAAAGCTTCTGTTATAATGACGCTCCTACCTTCCATATGCATCTGGTATCTGTTACCAGAAAAATGACAAGTGAATGGTTTTCGAATTGAGCAATACATCTCAAGCAGCAGTAAATTTTATCTATGCAGCTTGAAATGTCATGCCTTCAGTGACTAGCTTATTTTTGTACCAGGAAATCTGACATACTGCATTGTGCTCAACCCTATCGGTCTGTCCCGAAGGCGGATTAGATCCTGTGTGGCCTCTCTTGAATGCTTTTATTTTACATGCAGCTGACGGCCACAACACTTGCCCTGTGTAATCAATGTAAAGGGGGATTATCCTTGATGCTCGCTCGAAGAAAACCTGGCTGGAAGTGTCTCGGCTTCCTTCAGGACCCGGAGTCCATTTAGCTGGCAATAAAGTCAGGCGAATTTGCATGTTTGGCAAGGCGAAGCAGTCTTTTGAAGCGTCGGTGCCAGGGAGATACTTCTCCCCGAGCCAACACCCGAACGGATGTGCCTTTTCATGGGTGCGAAGAAAGATGAAAGGCGTTTATTGATGGAACACCTTCTGACAAATAGCACTCGGAAGCCTTCGCAGATATGGGCACACTACCCATAATGCACATTAATGGAGAGGGTTGAAAGACGCCTCTTCAGGAGAGCGGCAGCTGTGTTTGAGCAGCACTACAACCTCGATAGTCGCTTGTTTAAAGATGCGGCTTTACTGGCGGCGTTACAAGGACACGACGGAGACTTTTCGCTCATGCCTTCCTGGCTTCGCTAAGTCCTTTCCTGCTGGCACGAGGTACTTATAATGGTAAATCCCTGGGGTGAATTAGCTTTGAGTCAATAATTCCTGCCATCCTTCAAAGAGCCACCGAGGAGATGATTGCCATAGTACGCGAATCGAATGTCATCATCATTATCAGGTTTGAGGAAAGGATAGAAGAGTAATCCAGTCATTCAAATTCAGGGATTCGAGCACAAGAGACTTACATGCATGAATGAAAACTAGGAGATGTGAGGGGGAATAATGGGGGATGTCAGTAAATGTGCTTGGTGGAGATGCTTATCTTTCAATCAGCCGCATTGAGTGGCATTTATTGCGATAGGTGGCAACTATGCTGCAACCCATGCGTTGGAAAAATTCGTCAAAGATAAAGTGCAAACACTCGCACAACACCTGCATAACAAGTGTGAACTTTCCACAAAGGACAAGAGACTTAGAGATACTACAACTTCCCACTTTATAAGAAAAACAGGCCTTGTTTCTTATTGTTGTTGTTTTTTTGTCTAGATCTCAAGAAAGCTTCTTCTGAGGTGAAGCACGAACAAACGTTTATTGAAATAAACCACAGGCATTGGTTGAAATACCACATGCTATGCTACACAACCCACGCAGCGATGAAAATGTCAAAGGAGGTCAATGTGGGAGAGGGAACTTGGGACGAAGCTAGCATAACATCAGGTTAGGAAGCCAGTGCATTATATTAAGTGCATTGATGCGTTTACGTTACCGTGCGGTTGGTGCAAATTGGAGTGAATGCATTTGTCCCGCATGTAAACAGCCTGTCGCCGTTGACGAGTAGAACACGGATGTAATTCTGGCACTCCTCCTGTTAAAAGACATAAGGGAAAATGTGTAAGCGGTAGCAAAAGTGTTGACTATTAGCATTACAAATGCAAAATTGAGCCAACTCAGAAAAAGGTGTGTTGACAAAATCATAACACACTATGAATAGAAAACCCGCCTTTCTGTTAAAGGGGTATAGTTCACCCAAAAATTAAAATTCTGTCATTAATTACTCAGCCTCATGTCATTCTAAACCTGTAAGACCTACGTTCATCTTCGGAACACAAATTAAGGTATTTTTGCTGAAATCCAAGAGCATTCTGACCCTGCATAGACCCTGCATACTTAGAAAGGTAGTAAAGACATCATTAAAATAGTCCATGTGACATCAGTGGTTCAACCTTAATTTTATGAAGCTACGAGAATACTTTTTGTGCGCAAAGAAAACAAAAATAATAACTTTATTCAACTATTTCTTCTCTTCCGTGTCAGTCTTCGACTCGCATTCAGGACAGTACCACTTTTCATCACAAATATGTTAATTTGTGTTACGAAGATGAACAAAGGTTTTATGAGTTTGGAAAGACATGAGGGTGAGTAAATAATGACAGAATTTTAATTGTTGGGTGAACTAACCCTTTTAAAGCTAATAAAAAGTTTATTTATTCTAAAACATTCATTTATAGAACCAGCCTGAAAAATGGAAAATTCTAAAAAAAAAAAAAAAAAAAGAAAGAAAAAGAAAAAAATAGGCCTATATATACATATATTTTTAACAGTTATATTAAAAATAAATATGTATACTTTTATAATATATTAAATTTATACAATATATATTTTTAACAGTTATTTGAACAAAAGAAGTCCGGTTGTCAGATTTCTTTGGTAATTGAACTTAAATTGTTTCAAACAAAATCTTGACAAGCCTTTTTTCCATTAGCACTGACTATTTTTCCCAAGTGTAGAAATATTGTATGAATGAATGAGTGAAATTATAGTCATATTCATCAATAGGAAAATTCACCCTACATACATTTTCTAAATGGACGTTACTGATCGTATTGTCAACAATTCATCCGTGTATGTTTTAATAAAAAGAAAAAAACATGACGCCAATCTTCCAGTGAAATGACTGGCTTCTCTCTGAAAATGTATGTTGGAGTTTTCTAATCATTTAGTCTCTTTAAACTTTGACTTTTTTTTTGATAATCCTTTACATTTAGATGTAAGTCCACAATTGCAACAACTGTATATAATTTGAAAAATCAAAACTCAAATCTTTTTCCATAACTTTTAATTGATGCAGTGGCTTTTTTGTTGTTTATTCTTTGTTTGTTTGTGTTTATCTTATTGAGTATTGACCTATATTATGCACATCACATTGGCCAACAGCTGTTGTTTTAATTGTGCTCTACAAATAAAGTGACACTGACATTGACAATACAGAAAAAAAGATTTGTCACTACTTCTATTTCATTGCAAATTTATGAGACCATTATTGTTTGATTTGAATGACGTTTTAACATGAAATCTTTCAAAATGTAATCTTTGTAAAAAACAAAAGGAGGAAAAATGCAAACAGGTCTAAATACTTCTGTCTTTCTCCACTGTAGGTAGAAGCTATATTAGCAAAAATAGCTGTCTGTGGTGTTTCCAAAATGGTCACTGTGTGAAATGGCTTCTCTTAAAGGGACTTTGGCCAAACTCCAGAAATTCAAAGCCTTTACAGTACAGAAGCTAGGTTGCATTTGTCTTCCAATCAGATTTTCTGCTATATTAGACCAGCGGCAGGACTTCTTGAACCGTAATGCTTCAGTTCTGTGTGTTTTTACAAGGCTTTTTGAGAATTTATGAGCCAGTAAATCATGCTTGTCTGAAATACTTGAAACCCTGTCGCCCCGTCTCGCTCTCTGTTGATTTAAAGGTGTTCCAAGGCAGTGCTTGAGTGGGTCAACTTTATTTGCTCATCAGAATGGCTGTTAACCCGTGAAGCCGTTCATTTCCCTGCACTAAGCGGAGTCCTGAAAAGAAAAGGATGATTTACATTTACTAATGCAATTTGGCTGGAGGGCAGTGCTTTGCTTTATGTGTAAATAAACGGAGATTTGATATGCCTACCACATCACGATGTGACATGTTTATGAAAACCCCTGACAGATGGCTACACTCCATAGTGTAATATAGTGGCTGCTATGCACTGTTTGCATTACAAACAATACTAAGTCGACAGAACACCATTCACTCCATCAAACACTTTCCTTTGTTCTTGAAACAACAGATTCAAGGAAACCAGATGCAGCGGTTGAAAGAGATTAAAGATAATGTTTTGTATAGTAAAAAAACAAAAAAAAAAACTTTCATATGGCTTTGTGATGTGTAAAACAACCAAACAGTCTTAAAAGGAATAGTTCACTTAAAAAAAAAAAAGGAAATTATGTCCTTACTCACCCTCATATTGTTCCATTCGTATGACTTTCTTTCTTCTTTGGAACACAAAAAAAGGATTTTGAAGAATCGTACTGGTCCCTCTTTAGAGGACTGAGGCTTTCAAACTTCATAAAGTATCATAAAAGTGGTCCATACAAATCGCATGCTACATTTCAAATCTTCTGAAGCCATACGATAGCTTTGTGAAATCATGAGAGAATTTAAACTTCATAAAGAACTTTTAAATTAATCGACTGATTCGGTTCACAGATCTGGTCTGAATGATTCAGAGTGATCGAGTTATGAGTGATCTCAAAAAGCTATCATTAGGGCTGGCCGGAAAAATGATAACGTTAATTATCGCGATATAATTTCCTGCGATAAAACGATAACAAGGGTTTGATAAATGTTCGATATAATGTTTATGCGCCAGAAGCAGAACGAAACAGTGCTACTCATTTGAACTGCGCCACACGGACCATTGATCTGGTAAGTTTACATTTCAAGCGGCAGCGCAGTGCGAGCTCACTAGAGCAAATGCGTTTACTCGCTGATGAGTCTCGGTCACACGCTGTGAGATCCATTGTGAAGTGCGAGAATTCAGCTAACAAAACAAATAACTTTGTGATTTTAAACTAGTTTAAAACCAGGGCCCGTATTCAAAACATCTTAAGGCTAAAAGTAGCTCATAACTCGCCGATTTAGGAGAAAATTTTAAAAATAATGGGCGTCAATCCTAAATTTAGGACTCTTAAATTTTTGCTCTAAGAGTATTTCACAAAGCGTTTTAGCACTAAAACTAGCTCCTAAATCTGTGAAAGGTTAGAAGTCGTGAAGAGGACTCCTAAGTCACTAAGACCAAGCCACAAACTATTCCTAAAATGGCTGTTGCCGGCAATCTGCCTCTGAACGTAAACATTTTAGAAACATTTGATGATAATGACCTTTTAAAAAGGTATCACCTTTGGTTTTGGAGGTTACCCCAACTCCAAATTTTCCTTTGATTATATCCTTGATTTCATTAACCAGTGGGGCAAGAAGTAACAGCTGTTCTTGTGTCCAGTTTGTTTGTTTGTTTTTTGTTGTTGTTGTTTTTTTACATTTGCATGTCTTACTATCAGCCATGATTATTCTACTCTGTTAATTAAAAGGCTGTTTATATGCATATCCGCTAATTGTTTTTGAAAAGCATAGATGTAAGAGGCTGTCAATTAGCTGAACATATACTTGTTTAATTAGTGACACTTATCCTGCATTTTAAAATCTTTAATTGAATGTGGGAATTAACTTCTTATTTTTATTTGTAAACATTTATTTGAATACGGCAACATAATAGTGTGCTCTACAATATTATGAATAAATCTCTGACAGAGAATATCAGCCAATCACTGTGTGCATAGTTAGTAAGCATGCTGACATCATCCATAGCAACGAGGTCAACCCCGCCCTTACTCTTAGCTTAAGACTTCTCTCTATTCCTTAGTAAAAGTTTGTCTCAGCGGCTTTGTGAATAGGTTTTAAGAGAAAACTCTTAGCTAAAAACCACTCTTAGTGGTAAGATAAAATGTTTTGTGAATACGGGCCCAGATGAAATGGTGCTGACAAACAGCAGAAACACTCTGCACAATGATACAGTCAGAAGACTTTTCAATCTACAAATTGCGATCATTTACCATGGATTTACTGTAGTAACACTAACTGCACCATGGTATTTTGGCAGAAATGTGGGACAATCATAAGACATTTTATTATATTATTAATGTAGACATGAATTAAATGTATTAAAGGAGTAATGGAATATAATTAGAGTATTTTGTGATTAAGCTATATAGCATTTCTGTATTTATACTAAATGTATTTAGACTACTGTTTTTCATACAAATACCTAGAAATAATATGGTAAAATTTTTACCATGGTATTTTAACTTTGGTTTAACTGTGGTTATAATGATCTAAATGTATAATACTATGGAAGACCAATGGTTATTTTTAATAAAACTCAAACAGTCCAAATAATTACATTTCACCATATAAAAATGAGGAAATAAAACGTTTGAATTTATCGTGATAATTACCAATATCGACTGATATGAAAACTTTTATCGTGATCATTTTTTAAGCCATATCGCCCCGCCCTAGCTATCATATCACTTCAAAACATCTGGAATACAGCATTTTAGTATAGTTTTTGGTGCTTTTGTGTACCTTCTGAAGTTTGAAATCTTTATTGTAATTGCATGGAAAAGAGCAACCAGCACATCATTCAAAATGAATCCTTCTGTGTTCCACAAAAGAAAAAAAAGTCTGGCACTTTTTTAGAACCAAATATTCTTTTTTTTTTGGACTATTACTTTAGAGATATTCTGAGCCACCACATGTGCAGTCGATACAGCAAGACTCCACAATTGCAAGCAACTTACGGCAGCCTCCTCCTGCAATTCGGAAATTCAATCACATGTTGCTCAGAGTAATCCAACTCATTACGGGCTTCAGAACACGTTTCACAAGCGAATAAAAAAAAACACTCATGGGGCCGTTCGCACAGGCTGAAACCGCACGGGGGCCACTAGAAATACACCTTGGGGCTCGGCCCAGGCTGGAAGGATGGTCGGCAATCCCAAACACAGTCCCTGTACAGCTCCCATATGACTTAAAATGGCTCAGCTCAGTGTAGCATACTATAAAGCAAAGGGGGACCCTCCATCTCATGTTTGACAGAGCTGGAAGTGAAATATTAAGGAGATTTAAGAAACATTTTGTAGCACAAATCTGATCTGATTCAGTCAGCCTTCAAAAACACAAGGGAGTCAGTGCTGAAGAGCCATGAAAACGGCTCCATAGCAAAGTGGAAGAGATGTGGGAATGCCTGAGCAAGAGCGATGCCATAAATAATGGGTTAGCTATTTTAGGAGGGCGATTGCTTTCTTAAGTACAGGTAATATTTAAAATAACCTTCATTCAGGATGTGAATTACAGTGGGGTTTGGGGGTTTGAATTCACCCCCTCCCCCCACCAATGGAAGTCAAAACAAAAGGTAGGTCTGAAACATATTACAATGTTTCAGTAACCACAAAAGGTCAGATTACAAGTTAGTTAGCTCATATTTCCATGTGGCGCCAAATGGTAACTGAAATTGTGCCTGAGGTGGTTACTATAGCAACAGGATGCCACTTTAGTGGTTTCTGTTAGGATCAGTATTGGATGTTATTTAAAACATATAGATACTATTATGGATATAAACATTGCATTAAACTTATTTTTAAAGTGTTTTGTTTAAAAAGTCAAAATAGTAGACGTTTGTCTAGCAGGTTTAGGCAAAATTCAGAATTTCAAAATTGGCTCTTTTTCGATTCACAGGTTAAATCTGAATTAAACTGACCACACCTTACAGGAAGTTGCACTGAAATAATAGGAGGTATGGCAGGTAAAGGCATTCTGGGAAGTGAAGTGTTCTTGGTCCATTAATTTGCTTGTCTGTAAAGTTTAAACAAAGACATTTGAAACCTTTTTCAATCCAACATTTAAGGTTTGTAAGAAAAAAAAAAGATTTATAAGGGTTATTAATTTTTATGAATTTAAATTTAAATTCAAATGTTTAAATTCAAAAGTTTGGGGTTGGTAAGATTTTTTTAGTTTTAGAAGTAAGTCTCTTAGGCTAACCAAAGCTGCATTGATTAAAGGAAGTAAAAACAGTAATATTAAGAAATATTATTACAATTTAAAATAGTTGTTTTCTTTTAGAATATATTTTAAAATGTAATTTAGTCCTGTGATGACAAAGCAGTTTTTCAGCAGCCATTACTCCGGTCTTTAGTGTCACATGATCCTTCAGAAATCATTGTAATATGCTGATTTGGTGCTCAAGAAACATTTGATTATCAGTGATTATCAATGTAGAAAATAGTTTTGCTGCTAAAAAAATTGTGGAAACGATACATTTTTTTTCAGGATTTCTCAAAAGTACAGCCTTTATTTGAAACAGAAATAATCTGAAACAGAAATATATTTACTGTCACTTTTGATCAACTTAATGCATTCTTGCTGAATCAAAGTATTAATTTACTTAAAAAAAAAAATCTTTCCAAGCTTTCCAAAATTAGCTAAAAAATGTATCCCCCAAAATATCCTTTTATAATTCTCACACTGTGTTCAATTTAACCCAAATATGAAATATTTGGAGAGTTTAAAAACACTCTCAGAAGGAAACGTACAAAAGATGTCACTGTGATTATGCAACTTTATATCCCTAAAGGGTGCATAAAAGTACAAATTAGCACATAAAAGGTACATATTAGTACCTTTTTTAAACCGTACTACCCCAGCGACAGTTTTTGTACTTTTCAGACGTGCTTACCTCTGATTTGCCTCGACTGAAACAGGCTCCTTTGGTAAACTCATCGCAATGCCATTCTGCCTCCTGTAAACAAACACACATTAAGAAGAACATCATGAAATGGCATGTTTTGCTGAGGGCATTGTTGTGAGCTCATCATTCATACAAGAAAAAAAACAGATCTGCTACATCAGACAATTGATATATGCCTCAAATGATTTTTAAATTTACTAAGCTCTAGGATATAGTGCAAAAGAAACTATTTTTTAAATCGAATCTCTGTGTTTAGCCAGGTATTATCGATTGTCACTGAGAGGATGAATGAACTTGGCTATAGAAAGCAGGCAGATCTTGGATGATAATCACTTGTATTCAGCTCCCCGGCATTCTGGGAAAAACAACAGGCTTTTCAGAGGCAGCCTGTGAGCCGTCCTTCACTGAGAGATGAGGGTCCCGGAGACAATGACAGCGTCCACAGACTATGGTTGCATTCACATTTCACCACTGGCACTGAACTGCTGGATAATGCCAAGTTTGAACTCTGCAACTGCCTCCAAATGGATTTTAATATCAAATGAGATCCTCGCACTTATTGACCATGAGATCTCTGGCTCGGATCCAGACGTGCGAGACTTTAAGCTTGCCAAGCGAAAGCAAGCGACTAACTATCAAAAAACAATTAAGGAAAATGTTACAAAGGCACAACGACCATTTTTATCCTTTCCATTTAATAAATGAATAAGAAATTATCATTCCCCAAGGAGGCATGACTCCGGCTAGACAGTAACCTCATTTTGAAGTGATCTAGAGCACAGCAGAAGCCCTGTGGCTGCTGTGCTGGCTGAGATGTTACTCTGTCTGGAGAGTCTTCGATCATGGCTTTATGAGACGGGATTGTTATGTCACCCCAGCCCGAGGCTGAACAGGACGTAGTGCACCCGTGACCCTCTGGAAAAAGGCAAATATTAAGTAAAAAAATCCAGGTTCTCATTCCCTCGAGCCAACAGGGAATCTTACAAGTGACACTTAGAAGACGGCACAGGGTGTGAATGTGCAAATGCAGGACTGAAAATCCGTTGTCTTGCTCAGTCATGCTGCTGAATGTGTTTCCCCACGAGGCCCATTCAAGCCAAATCTTCATCGCAAGACAGAGAAATAGGCTGAGGGACGGAGACACATGAAACTCCTTCACATCCAGAGTGACATGAAAGATGATTTAATGTGTCAAAATAACCATTAGCAACTGATATAACACTTTCAGCCTGACATAACAGCAGCGCAATGATAGAAAGGAGCAGAAAGAAGGCTGGAATTTGCTGAGGGAAGAATACTACGCGTTTTCATGCTTCAAAGCGTATTGTCATATGCCATAATTATAGCTAGGCAGCGGCGCTGAGGCACAACACTACATTTTTAACTGTGCATTTTATGAACTTCTGTAATCGAACAGCAGAAGGAATAGGAACAGACTTCATTCTTATATCCCAGGCTAGAAACCAGCATTTTTGAGGAAAGTCAGTCATACAAACAAACTGCACATCAGCAGAATGTTTCAGAGTGCGAGGACAGCATTAGGATGTCTTAAAGCCGTTTTTGTGTGTGCCAGCACAAATTGCTCAGAGGTAGTAGTTGTCGCCCACTCGAGGTGTTGCGTTTAGCTCAGCAAAAATGGTGCAAAACGTGAATTAAATGTAATTACTAAAACCATTACCTTGACAAATTAGGTTAAATTACACTTTGGAAAATTGCATTATGAATTTCCAGGATAGTCTAAACAATGTCATTCGGTAGTTGGCATCATTCATCAGTAGAGCTATTTAATGATGTAATAATGCTGAACGTAACCATTAACCAACTTGAACTTGGCCATTAACAACTTGAATGTTATTTGCGCTCTGTGATATTTTTACACAAGACATTTTTCAAAAGTGAATAATGGGAAAGAGGCAGGTAGACACCAGCACAGCATTAAATTGCTCTTTCAGTAAAATATGCTCCATTTAAGTCAACTGGTATTTATGACTGACTTCAAAGTCTTTTAAAATTTGCATTGTTAACAATAACCATTTCCTTAAAAAGTGTTCATCGATCTATCCACCTTATTTTGAATCGCGGAAGTAGGGAAATGACAAGAAGAAAGTGTGGTAAAGAGTAAAACTGTTTGCGCTACAAAGGAGTGCGTCCATAATTAAGATAATACATTAAAACAATATGGTAAGAAACACTAGTTTGCAATATCAAGCAGCAAAACGAACTGTTAAAATTAGCTAGAAGGATGACACCGGAAGCCAGATACATTAAATTTACAAATTACCGTTCTTATGAGAAAAATAAGGTAGTTTAAAATTGGCCTGGTTAAAAATAACCGTTTCCTTTTAAAAGTGAATTTAGATCATCATCTATCAATAATTTTGACATCTTACATTTTACACACAATATTGTCAGTTACGTTGTCAATTTTTGCTCCACAAAGGAAAACGGTCCAAACAAAGCCACAACATTTCCAAACAATGCACAGTACTGGCGTTTACGTTTTATTTGATTCAGTATCGTTGAACGAATTGGTTGACTGACCAATTCAGTGATTCACTTACAAAGAGACACTTGTCGCCACCAATTGGCGTAATTACGTAACTTTCAGTAACCCCTGTAAAATAATTTCTAGCCTACTAGTGATGTCCATGGTCGGTCACACCTTGAATAAGTTTGGTAGACTCAAAGTAATGACTTAAAAGTTCTAAATTTGTTAACATCAGTGTTTATATAAAGATGTAAAGTGGCTAGGAATTAATGAGGTTTCTCATACCAGTGAGTGTGAAGGCAGCAGGTATTGCAAAATGGAAAACTTTGACTGGAATTACAATGGAGTTATTACAAAACGCGCAGAGCAGATGGGAAACTTTCACTCCGCTCCACATATTCTAATCCATTCTGTATTTTGCTTGATGCTTTATATGCGCTAACTCGGTTTTACTTAAATCGCGTATGCAGCACAACAATGAAGAAAACAATTAGCCTAAAAGAAAAAAAAAAACACGGTATAGAACACAATGCTCAATAAATTCAGCTTTTGTTTTCAACAGTTTGTCTTTCAGCTTTTCAGAGGTTTTCTTTATGGAGGGTATACAATTGGTTCCATACATAACTTTCACCATAAACACAAAAAACACAGACAACAGTTATTTAAACACACTTTAATGTCTTTACAGTTCCACCGCTCCTGTATGGTAGACTCGCTCCATTGTTCCAGATGGTCCAGTGCAGACCCCAGAACTGAGCGGTCATTGTCAGGAACAGGTGGGCCAGAGAGACCCAGTCAGCACTGTGTGGGTTGAGTCGCCCACTACACGGCTCTCTCCGAGTTCTGCCTGGAATTTACATTGCCAAGACAAAACAAAGCATGCATAAATGATTGTAAGCATTTCTGTTGTGCATGCTTGTATTATCGGAGTTGAAGAATGCAACCACAGGCACGCTTTGGGTATTCAATGAATTCTGCTCATTTCAACAAGCAGCACGTCAGGCAACAGTCAACAGATGACAAAGTATTGCATCTTGCTCAATTGGATTAATCGTGCATTTTCATAATTACGATGCACTGAAGTGTGGAGATTTAAGGTGATCTCATCCTGCCCTGCAACTGTGGCTTGTAAATGAGTTTGAAACCTCATATATCACAGAAATCCTAGCCAAAAGTGATATTTACCAAAACCCAATACATCTCCACTCATTATATATGTAAATGGGAAAAAATCCCAGCAGCATTTACTAGAGTATGTTGCTAAGTAGCCATTATCAGCCTGTAATTGGCATATAAGACCACGGTCCAAGCCTAGTCCCTTGTTAATCAGACATCTGATGGAGTTACAGTATACAGAGCACTGAAGGGGAGCTCATATGTTTATTATTTCATGAATTTAAATGGGCGAGTAACTGGAAGCAATTGAAACAGCGCCCTCAGAAATTAGCACAAGTGTTCTGTTGATCAGTGCATGTAATTGTTTTAGTGACGGTGAGTAAGAGAGGTTAATGAAATACATGACTGACAATCTGTCTCTTTTACTTCAACTTTATATTGCATATAAAAGGAAAGTTAATGATATAACACGTCAAAGTCAATATCACAGCTAAATGCTGTTAATAACACTTTTCCACAAACTCCTGCTCTTTAGAAAATATGAAATCAAGAGCATCTTGATAAGTCTAATCGTGCACAGTTCATCCTCAAATGTGTATTTGAATCTGTTGTCTGCTAGCACACAGATTCTGTTTTACTCAAAGAACGCTATTGTAAAAACCCATTGGAAAATTTCACAGACATGGCTCAAAGAACTACAAACTAAAACCGGTACTGAGTAAAATGATGCTAAAATGTCATTCACATCAGTTTGAGGCCAAAATTACTTTTCAATTTATGTATTGTATCCTCATGTTTGAGAAATGTCAGTCAAGTTACAACTTGATTAATTTTTTTAATTTATTTGTTAATTATTATATATTTTTTTATTATATTATCAATTGACTGACGTGAGATATGTCAGTCAATTGACAACTCAAATTATTTTTATTTATTTTTTATTTGTTTATTTTTATTTTATACAATTTATAATCTTAATGTATCAACTTAAAGGGTTTACATTTCCATTTTGACAAAATTTTTGAAAATCAATAAAAATATCTGATAAAATATCAAACGTTCATTCATTCATTCATTCATTCATTCATTTAAAAGTGTAACTTGATGTTTAATAATTTCATTCATTCATTTAAATTTATAATTTTTAATTGTATTTTTAAATGGTTTCATTTTTGATATTTCAGAATTAAATAATATTTAAAAGTTAAAATATCTGAGCACACATAAAACTGGCTTGATATTGGCGGGAAAAAAAGCCTTCTGCAATGCCATACAATTCACACACATTTGCACAGAATATCAGTTTACGAATAGTAGCAAAGTGATGGTTTAATTTGTGAATATTAATCAAATAATGTGACTTAAATGGTCTAAGAATATTACCTACCAACATCAATACGTGCTAATTAATATTCATGAGTTCACAACGTCACTCACAATTCCGGTG